AAAAGCTACACTTTCTATTTTTTTAATGAAAAAAACAGCAAATCTATAATCTTTATATCATGAAAAAGGGAAATAATTTTATAGCAATTCTAAGTATAAAATCCATTGAAAACCTGTAGGTGTTTTTCTACCTCCCAAATATTTTTCGTGAATATGCTATTCTTTGGTAGGTACCTTTATTGGTATTTAAATGTTGTTCTCATCAAAATAAGGTAAAACTAAATCATAAGGCATAGATGAGAAATTTGCTTAGATATTTCATAATGAAAATGTAATTGGAATTTAAGAGTCAAGCTTATAATTTTTGTTTAAGCATGTATACATTTAAAGTTACTTTATTTTGACAGTTTTCTAGTTTATTAAATGTTTCAAAAAGCTGAGACTAGGTCTTTGCTATCCAAAGAAAATGACATTCCTTTGAAAATCTTTCTAAAATGATTAAAGCATAACTTAATGTCACCTAGAATTTTACTACAATTCTTTGCTTATAAATAGGCAGTGGATAGTCTTTTAATTCTTATATATTAAATGTCACACATAAATAGCAAAAATTCTTAAGTTTATGATTTTTTGTTAATATTGGAAACAAATGTAGATGCAGAATAGATCATGACGTCTTCATTTAAGTGATACAGAAATTGAAAAACATAATTATATATGGAATCAATTACACTTACTTCCAAGTTTAAAAAATACATAAAATGATTTGAAGTACGCTGTATTGTTATGTGATTGTCAATTTAGCACAAACTATAAAACTATTTCTTACTCAATAACAGAGATTTGACCTTTGCCACTTTTTTTCCATGTGAATTCCGTATAGGTCTCAAGGCATTGCAATGCCAAATACTTCTAATACTTTTTAGAGAAGTATTTACTAGGTAACTACCTCAGAAAATTGTAAATTCCATAGGCTATACCATTGTACAAGTGAATTAATTTTAATAACATCTTTTTGATAAATTTTCATAATTTCCAATTACTATTTGCATCACAGAATAGAGAAAGGAAGCTACCTTTGAAATGGAGGATCCCATGAAGAGCATTTAGGCAAAACTTAGCCATGTATGTTTATTTCTCTTAAATATAGGCTAATATTTTTATTTGGTAATATAGAAACACTTAAAAATTAATCCAAATACATAACTATTCCAGATTTTAATTAATACATGAGTAGATAGATCAGTGTGTTCTAATGTAATAAACGATGGAAGTTTATTGATAAGAGTTTAAGATTCCACATTGCACTAAACTTTAAAAGCTTTAAGTAACTTCAATTTCTTGAGTTTTAGTATAGTTTTACAACACACAATGCACGTTGTGTCTGTTCCTTAGCTGCTACAGAGAAAAGACATTTTTAGTTAATATTAGATCACTCATCTTGACTCTGTACTTCCTTCCTTCCTCATAATTAATAAATTCATAACAATCTATAACTATGTGATATAGACAAGTACTACACTTCTATTTTATAGTGAGGTGCTGTTATTTTTACCAGGACATATTATCAAGTAGAAAACAATGTGGAAAAAAGTCTGCAAGTTACTTTGCTGTTTACTAAGAGAAGCAGTGTTTCAGGCTTAGTACTTCTAGGTCTGGAAGGAAACTGTCTTCATTTATTCACTGTTTACGAGTTGTCTGAACTTGAATAAGAGAGCAAGCCTCCTTATGAACCTGTTTTCCTGCACCTTAAGTGAGGACAAAAATAGTACTTTCCTGAAAGGATTTTCCTGAGGGTTAAATAATAAATAATGTAGTTTTGGTGAATCCCTACATAGTGGTTCCCACATTAAAAAAAAGTTCAGCACACGTAGGTAGGTCAGTGATGATGATGGTGGCAAATAAAATGATGGAAAAATAACTGAAAAGTAGTTTTAAAAATGGAGTGTTAGTGATATATTTAACTGTGGAACTATTCAGAATTTTAATAGCTTTAAATTTATTTTTGGTTTTTATTTTAAAAATAATGTTAGACCTATGCTCATTATGATGATAAAGATTTTTTTTTTTTTTGGTGAAACCTTATCATGAATGTTGACAGATCTTCAGTTTTTGGCAACAGTATAATGACAACTGCATAACCACTGAAATTATAGCTCTACTTGAAATTTTCTACCTCTGTTTCACTAAAAAAAAAAAAAAAAAAAAAAACAAAAAAAAAACCTGAAACTTTTTAGTTGACTTTGGAAATGGATTGAATGTATTCCAACATAGCCATGAAATTTCTTTATATCCTGAAGACATACTCAGTTGTTTTCCTCATATATGTGTGTGTGTGTATATGTATGTACATATGTGTGTGTGTGTGTGTGTGTGTGTGTGTGTGTGTGTGTGTGTATATATATATATATAAAGGCAGAATGTAACAGACATCAACGTAACAGGAAGTAAAAAATCTTAATTTCTGTTTATCTTTTTTAGTTGATTTTCCTGTTTTAAATCTTACAGCTTCAGGATACTGTCACCTCGTGTGTATGTCTTGCAAAAGTATATTGTTTTAAGTGCCCAGGAAAAAGGTACTTGAGAGGAACAAATAAAAAATTTACTCACAAGCTCGGTCAGTCAGAAAGATGATACTAATGAAAAGACTCTGAGCTTCTGTCATTAATGGAGTTGGTCAAAGCCATTATGAAAATAAAGGAAATATCACCTTATAAATTAGGCAGCTATACATTAATTCTCCTCTGGTTTGACATAAAAACAATGTCATATAACGTAACTAAAAATATCTTCAACACTGTATTTGTAGACAATCTAATTATTGGAGGATTACCCAGCTTTCTTTTCTTTCTTTCTTTCTTTTTTTTTTCTTGCATTTAGACTTACAGCAGTTTGAAGATTAAGAAGTTTAGAATGTGTAGCTATGTTTTTTTCAACAGATACATTTACTAATTTTTTTAAGTTTCTTGTTTATGGATGTTTCTTTGCTATCCAGGACATTCTGTCCTTTTAGTCTTTCCTCTTGGATTCATGGTGCTTTAGCTACTTGATTTTGTTAGGAATCTGGTCTTTGGATAGGTGAAATATGCGACAAAATGAAACCCTTCTTAGGAGTAAATTGTCATTATTGTGATGCTACAAGCTTCATAAAGCTACAGAAAAAATAAATCAGCAGTTTGATTTTTGGAAAAGGAAAGTTTGGAATATTTACAATAAAATATCTCATGAATATGTAGCAAACCAAATTGATTTTGATAAACTGCTTCGTATTCTATTGTTATTACTCTGCCCAGAAAGATTTGCTTTGTGTGGTGAGGAAGTTAAACAATATAAGGCATATTTGAAAACAAAAAGAGGAGTGAATGTTCGGTGAATAAAAAAATTTTCCAGAACAGAATTTTAATGCAGTAGAGCTTTGCAAAGACACACCTTTTTTTTTCCACACAAGAAAATAGTTGGGTGACCTTTTCTTTGGTGAGCTCTTATTTCTGGGTTCTTATGACCTCTCCTTTGGATTGTTTTAGGCTTGGGAACTTCTCAAATTGATCCTGAACTGACATACCACTGTGAAAAATTATTTCTACCACAGGCTTCATTTAAGATGCATTTTTTTCCATTGATTTGGCTATTTACAAGTCTCTATATAAAGAAACAAGATCCATGGTTTTGTAGTTAGACAGTATGGCCAAGGAATGTGTGATAAAGTGACAAAGTAAACTGAGCAGAAAGATCTCAATTAGAGGCAAAATGATTTTGGACTAGTTAAGATTATTTTCTGAGGTACAATTAAGATTTTTTTTTTTGTCTTTTTTTTACGCCAAATTGAATTGGATTCTAGTAGATGTTTTTCTTGCATAGAATTTTCTGTGGCATATCAGAATAAATGCGTCTCACTATAAAAACAAGATGCAAAATTATTAATAGAACTAATTTGAAAAACATTCTTTTTTGGGTGAAGCCAATTCTGAATTTTAGTGACTTAAGAAAATAATTTCTGTCAAGGAGATTTTGACATAAAAGAAGAAATCATGGTCAATAAGAAAAATGAGGCAATCAAAAGACTATGGCATTGAATTTTAAAGAAGTATTAATTAAAATTATTTTAAATGCCTAATATAACATGATAAAATGTAAAAGAACATTTAAAAAAATAATTATAAAAGAACTCATACATGAATTACATTAGAGTTTTATTATATTATATATTAGGTAATATTTATTGCTAAGTCATATTTCAAGTTTCTAAGAAATCATATTTATTTTCATGGAATGTGAAATGCTAATGTAGAGACTCAAATTCTTGATGTATTTGGAGTGAAATTACAAGATTTCTTGGTTGCTATTATGGCTCTGATATTGTTACTGAAACACCCTGGGGTTCGGTCTAGGTCTTGCTGTTCACTGCACAGAAAGCCAATGACTTAAGTCAAGTATTGCCAGGGAAGAAGGCTTTAACCTGATGCTGCAGCCAAGGAGATGGGAGCTCAGCCTCAAATCCATCTCCCCGACTAATAAAACTAAGGTTTTATATAGTAGGGAACAAATGAATCGATGTGTAAATAAACAGGAATAATGGAGGGCCAAGAGTAAGCAATTACGTTAAATGAGCAGTCTAGCATGTCTAGGTGTGGTGATCTGGAGAGTTTCATTTCTTTCATCCTTTTTTTGGAGATGCCTGAAATTCCTTTCCTGAGGAAGAAACTTAGGTAAGACAAATGTAAATTTTAAACTTTAAGACCAGGAGGGTCAATTTCTGTATTTAGCCAAAAACTCTCTGTGGGACTATTGGGTTGGTTTCAACATTAAGACTAAATGCTTTTATTAAACCTTCTTTGAATTAATTATTCTTTGAGATGCTGACTTAAATGATATTTCTTTTTGTTAATGTCTTACCAAAAGGAGGAAGAGAATGTTGATAAAGCTGAAATGATAAATTCTGTTGTTTAGATTACTTTATAATAGTTCACCTTTTTGATGTTTATAAATTATTTTAGGTCACAAGACTGTTACCAGGAAATTGAAGAGTTAGTTGATTTTCTTGATATTTAACTTGCTACAAGTAATAATTTTGATATATTATAAACAGAATCTGTTGTATGTATAAGGATTGGCTGCAGTCATTTACAGTGCTTTTTATTTTAAATGGATGTGTCAACTATGTCCATTATTTTAAGTTATTTTTTCTGATTTCTGATGATACAGTTTTATTCCAGAATTCCATAACTTCCAAGTTGGATATTGTGTGCTGTATTGCTCACTCAGAGCCTTCTCTGAGGACTGAGATCCTTACTCTCCCAGTTTTTGACAGTTGATGGTCTTAAACAAAAAAGAAAAAAAAAAGCCACCTTGCCCAAGGGCTTGCCCCTTCCCTGAGGAAAACTTGCACCTAATGACTGGTTAATGAGAGGGTACAATACAGCACTAAATAGGCGTCTTAACTATTGACTTGTATCATAAATAGAAGAGCATTATTTCACCAATTTAGGAAGGGTGGTCATAGATTAAGAAAGGCTTTCTCAGAAGAGATAGGTAAGTTTACTTTTCAAATGTGAGTAGTAATTTTTTCACTGTTGCAATGGACTGAATTCTTATTTCCCCGATAAATTCACGTGCTGAAACCCTAATCCCCAAGGTGATGGTATTAAAGGGTGGGGCCTTTGCGAGTAGATTAGGTCATGAGGGTAGAGCCCTGGCCACTGGGATTAGTAACCATATAAAAGAAACCGTGGAAAGCTGGCCAGTCCCTTCAACCATGTGGGGACATGGCAGGAAGTCACCATCTATGAACCAGAAAGCATGCCCTCTCCAGACACTGAATCTCCTGGTGCATTGATCTTGGACTTCTGAGCCTCCAGAACTGTGAGAAATAAATTTCTGTTGCTTAAAAGCTACCCAGTTAGTGGTATTTTGTTAGAGTAGGCTGAGTTGATGAAGATAAGTGGAAAAGGGGTAAGCAGGGAATTCTAGGTGCACAGAACAGTGTAGGATATCTTGAGGTTAAAAAAAGCATGAGTCTGTACACAGCTGCCAGAAATTCAGCATAAGTCAGAAAGTGCAGGCAGATACTGACAAAAGATGAGGACAGAAGAGTAGACAATGGTCAGAAAATTGAAATTCTTACATTCAATATAGAGAAAGTATACTTTGCCTATAAGCAGGAGAGTGGCATGATCAAATTTGTATTTTAGGTGTGTATTCTTCTATCATTTTAACTGAAAGCAGGTTTTGTTTTAGTTTTTGGTTTTTAGTGAGCTTGTATTTCAAATCTAGTGGGTGTTTTGTAGCAAAAAAAAAAAGTACAGCTTTATAGAAGGACAAACCGATGAGGAAGGAGAGCTGAGTTTCTCCTGTTTTACTTGGAAGTGTTATGACCTTGTCTGACCTTGGATATATCAGCTTTAAGGATATACGCAAGGGATCCTCTACTCTGCCAGCCTCAATGAGACTAGCTTCTCAAGAGGGTGTCTCTCTTTCTGTTTGTGTGTGTAAATATTTTTTAAAGACTTACTTGCAGTTTATCATGTTATATATTTGTCTTTTTGAAAAACAGTCCAGAATATTACTTAAGAACTAGGGTATTGGGCCCGACGCAGTGGCTCACACCTGTAATCCCAGACCTTTGGGAGGCCGAGGCAGGTGGATCACCTGAAGTCAGGAGTCTGAGACCAGCCTGGCCAACATGGGGAAACTAAAGTCTACTAAAATACAAAAAAAATAGCTGGGCATGATGGCAGGCACCTGTAATCCCAGCTACTCTCGAGGCTGAGACAGGAGAATTGATTGAGCCCAGGAGATGAAGGACGCAGTGAGCTGAGATCACGCCATTGCACTCCAGCCTGGGAGACAGTAAGACTTTGTCTCAGAAAAAAAAAAAAAAAAAGAACTAGAATATTGTACCCAGACTTCTTGTCTTCCCAAATCCACCATGTCCTTGCTCTGAAACCTTAAATCTATCAAAGCAATACATGTTTCTTCATTTATGAGGATAATAATGGCATATTATACTAGCATATTTCAGTCACATGTGACATAAACCAAAATTATGTTTCAATAAAAAAATGTATTGGAATATAAACTTGAAATTTACCAGTTCAGACAAAGTCTAAAGGCCACATGGCTTCAGCCATGACTATGTCCAGGTCTGCTCAAATGATATCGAATGCATCCATATCTGCTCAAATGAACTTTGACTCTGCTATTCTCTGTGAAAGTTTTATTCCCAGGCTGAATTTCCCCATGTTGAATAAAAGATAGCACATAGTAACTCTAGGCTTTTGTTCTACAAATTTATCTACTGCAGGGAAAAAATGAAGTACTTTTTGTCCAATGGTTGAGTATAAGTCTTGGATTGAGTTTTATCATTGCTTCTTGTGGATTGCCAGATAAAATTCAGTTCATCAATTATATTTGAATTTCAGATAAACAATGAATCATCTTTTAAAAGTGTGACTTAAATATTGCATGGAATATATTTACCCTAAAGAAATGATTCACTATATGTCTGAAATTCAAATTGAATTAGGTATCCCATATTTTTTATTGCTAGACCTGGCAACTCTTATTGGGGCCTTTGACTATTCTTACACTCATCATTTGGATCAAAATGATGGGGTGTTGATTAATCCTGGCTATGTGTCTTCTGGCTAAATTCCCCTGCCCTGGTCTAATATTCAGAATGTATAAGGGATCTAAATCAGAATGCAAAAAAAACAAATAAGCCTATTAAAAAAATGGGCAAAGGCATGAACAGACACTTCTCAAAAGAAGTTATACACATGGTTATCAAGCATATAAAAATGCTCAACGTCACTAATAATAAGAAATGCAAACCAAAACCACCATGAGATACCCTCTCATACCAGTCAGAATGGATATGTTGGTGAGGTTGCAGAGAAAGGTAATGTTTATGTACTGCCAGTGGGAATATAAGTTAGTTCAGCCATTGTGGAAAGTAGTTTGGAGATTTCTCAAGGAACTTAAAACAGAACTACTATTCGACCAAGCAGTCTCATTATTGGGCATATAACAACAACAACAACAAAAAATCATTCTGGCCAAGAAAACACATGCATTTGTATGTTTATTGTGGTGCTATTCACAATAGGGAAGACATGGAATCAACCTAGGTGCCCATCAACAGTAGATTAGAAAAAGAAAATGTGGTACATCTACACCATGAAATACTTCCCTGCCATATAAAAGAACATCATGTCCTTTGCAGCAGCACAGATGCAACTGGTAGCCATTATCCTAAATGACTTAATGTAGAAATAGAAAACCAAATGCTGCATGTTCTTCTTTATAAGTGGGAGCTACATGTTGTGTACACATAGATACAAAGCAGGGAATAATAAACAACAGGGGCCTACTTAAGGGCAGAGGGTGGGGGAAGGGTGAGGGTAAAAAAGCTACCAGTTGGGTAGTATGCTCAGTACCTGATGGACAAAATCATTTGTACACCAAAGCCCTGCAACATGCAGTTTACCCAAGTAACAAACCTGCACACATGCCCCCGAACCTAAAATAATATTTGAAAAAGAAAAACTTTTATTAAAAAAAAATTCCAGCCATGCACAGTGGCTCATGCCTGTAATTCCAGCACTTTGGAAGGCCAAGGTGGGCGGATCACATGAGGCCAGGAGTTCAAGACCAGCCTGATGAACATGGATAAAACCCATCTCTACTAAAAATACAAAATTAGCCGGACGTGGTGATGCATGCCTGTTATCTCAGCTGCTCATGAGGCTGAGGCAGGAGAATTACTTGAACCCAGTAGGTGGAGGTTGTGGTGAGCCAAGTTTGTGCTATTATACTCCAGTCTGGGCAATAAGAATGAAACTCCGTATCAAAAAAAAATTAAAAAAAAAAAAAGAAAAAAAAGAAAAGAAAGAAAACAATCCCCCTGTCCCAAGACAAATGGATTGAGTGTTCTGGAAGAAGCCTTACCATAAAAAGTGAGGTGCTATTATCAAAGAGATATTGTGCAGATAGAAAATGAAAACATATACATAATAATGTTTTATATAAATAGAATCTGTCTTATAGCACTTCTGTGAATATTACATCATATGGGAAAATTCTTTTAAAGCTTTTAATATGGTGACTAGCACATAGAAAACCTCGGTCATTTTTTTTACTGCATATATTATTACTGTTCTAATCCTAACGTAAATCACTTAACCCATTCATTAAACGAACATGAGTTGAGCATTTCCATGTTATTTCATAATTTTCTTGTTTTCAAATTTTAATAGGAAAAAGGAAACAACAGGAGAATAGTGAGATAATTCTTTTGTTGAACATCTTTGTGCATTAGACATTTTCCCTTACCTAACTAGAGTTGTTCCTAGGAACAGAGAGAAATTACTAGCTCAGAAGGCATGAATGTTTGTAAATCCCTTGATACTTATGCTGAACTAACAAGACACTTCTGCAAAATGCCGTGTCCCAGATGTAGGAGCCTGTTTGTCTACCTTTAACCCCAGACATAGCACAATTTCCAGTAACCTCTGCACAGCCTGCACACGCCCATCCGAACTCTAAGTCCTAGTTCATGTGACCCCTTACTGCTAAAATCATGGATCAAGGTTAACAATTACTGGTTATAATTCTCTGGCATGGTAGACAGTCTTAACTCCCAACTCATATCTGAGAGCCAATCCAAGAGACCTCAACAGTCAATATTGTTACTGTTTTTCCAGAGATGTTTATTCCTTTTAAGGTAACATCTTCCAATAAATTAATTAACATATCAGACCAATAAGTAGAGTAGATGAGGCATACTTCAAATAAAATTAGAATTAAAGTTTCAAACTATTACAAATTCAGCATAATTTTTTAAAAAGATTAAACTGTTTTGGACTTAATAAATACAATAAATAAAACAAGGAATCTTAAATAAAACAATGAATCTATTATTAATTACCCTCTTAATTGATTTGTTCGACAGATACTTGCACAGTGCAAGCCATTTGCCAGGCACTAATGTTGGGAACCATAATTTTATCCATATTAGCCTCTGTGAAAAACATTGATTTTATATTTAAGTTGAGAAAATTTGACTAATTTGAC